TGGGTGACCTACCTTGGCATATGTGCCACAAACCAGTTCCCGTGAAAGTACGTATTAAGATTCACTTAAAAATGTGACTTGAATAAGTTGAGTGCCATTATAGAAAGGCTATAATGTAACCACATTGAAAATGAAGCAGCATTTAGTGTTGTTTATAATGTCAGTTCTGAGGAATTGTTCTAAAAGAGTTGCAATCAGCAGGAACACTAGATGTGTTTCTTTTCTGAGATAATTGCTCCATTTTTAGATCTTTTCCCAATATTAGCTCACAGTCAAAACTCTGTTGCTTATAATTCTGTTGTTCTAGCTCTAAACTTTGTGTTACACCTTGTTCACATGAGATTGATATGTTGATTAACACCAAAATTTAAAGGGATACTATATCGCTCCTCCTGCCACCCCCCTCCCTTATGCCCCCCAGTGAATACATTTATTTACTTATATTATCCCAGCGCCAATGTACCTTGGCCCTGGGTCGACACTCCAACCCTTGCAACAACCCACAATGCAAATTAGACCTCCCCAAAGCATTGAATCAGTGCTTTCCTATGAAGAAAAAATCTAACGCTAGATGTCCTCATGAAGAGCTTGAGGACGTCTAGCATCTGATCCGTTATGATCCAGGAAGCGCCTCTAGTGGCATCAGCTTCAACTGAGCTTGTCTCTTAAATATCTTTATTCATTCTATTTTCTACAAATAGTAATTATCATTCATATTATGGATGCGTTTCTATTGCTTTGTTGTTCTATACTTTTATAATGTGATAAGGTTAGTAAGGAAATATTCAGCTAACTTCTTATAGACTGTGATTTTTGGAGAGTTGTATTTAATATGCTTTTTCTGCCAGGAGATTCATTTCCCCCCTCTCTTGCTACCAAAACAGAACAACACAGGATCTTGATTTTTAAGTAACTGTAACTAAAGCCTTGATTGGCTAACGCAGTGGAAAATATGCTTAAAACGCTTGGAGGGAAAAGAGCGGGGATCGGAGGGGTAATTTAGTCAAGACAGCCTAATCTGCTTCACATGAAATGGCACAGCACAGAATCTGTGTGTCAAAGAAACTGCCGCTTCTCTGAGCACAAATGCAACAATCCTTTCTGCTTGGATTCTAGCTCTGCACATCCAGCCTTGTTTTCATGCAAAGCCCCTGGTGCTCAGTTTACGTACGTACTATATTGTATTTCTGTTGTAAAAACAATGTATACGCTGCTTGATAAATAGAAACAAAAATATAGTTTTGTTTCAAACACAGCCGCGGTAATATATCATCATTAGATGTCCAATGAAAAGATGTGGAGTGCAGCATTGATTAGCTAATACAGGCTAGAAATATCAGGTGCATCTGGAGTGAGTTATATGGTAAGTTTGAATAAAGTCTCTAGCCCATCATGTTACTCTTTCCCGGATCTGTATGAGTTCAGAAAAAAAACAGCTTTCATTATGCAATATTTCTTGGCTGAAATAACAATAGTATTTGCATTACTTAAGGACTTGCGTTTTAAGTAATGGCAGTATATCTGGGCAATAAAATATAAAACAAAGCGCTATGTTCTTAACAATGCCTTATGTTGAGTGTGATTTTTGCCCCCTCACTTCCTCTTGTTATCTCTTTATCTAATGATGTGAATTTTACGTATGATGCAATGGCCCCCCATTGCTCTGGAGGATGAGGTGAGATCGGTGGTCTTTTGGTGAGATGTAGCATAAAATTGTTGTAACAGATATACTATATAGTATTTTATTGTACTTTGGAGATTAGTATTATTTGTCACCCTTTCATATTTATTATTTCTACACATATTTCATGTAGCCCGTCAAGCTGGTTTATGCCACATCTCACCAAAGACAGAAGACCTTAAATCACCAAACATGGGCAATGGCCACTCTGATGCTGTCATGTGCGAACTTGCAGTGCTTTATAATAATTATCTACCATGACAGAGTCAAACAGAGTCAATGTTCCAGTCTTTTTGGACCCATAATGATTGAAGCCCCATCTCGTAGACTCCTTTGCACTTGTGTAGTCACCTGGGTTTTATTCCCATTATCCCATCCTGCCTTTAATATTTGGTTGTTACCAAATGCCTGTTCCTTGATTACTTCCTTCCCCTGGCACTTCAGTTATCCATGACAGCTAAATTGCATTTTTCATAAACTCCTCTCCAGGTGTGACGGCCATTTTACAAATACTACAAGATATTTATAGTCCTTTTTATTAGACTACAGTAGGTATTTTTAATATATACTATGAAGTAGTTGAACACAGCCAGACAAATACACTAGCATCCCATCATATAACCACTTCACGTATCACAACTACACATATCCAAACTTTCCTAAAAGTCCAAGTGTACCACAAATGGGTCAAGCTTCATACTAAAATTCACTGCCGGGAATAGATGTTATTCATATAGTGCCAGTCTATGATGGTTCTGATTGGGAGCTTGTTCTAACTGGATCTGAGATCTAGAACCTCACAGATCACGTTTGGTTTTTGCAAATGGTGTTGCATCTTCCTGTTGACCAAACTGCGAGTTTTTGTTCACATGTGAAAATCAGATCTCACACTGTAGTTACAATCTTGCTTGAATTACAGCAATATACATACATATTAAGCTTTACAAGAACATAAACATATTTTATAACTTGGTTAGTTCATTTGACATTTACAAAAATGGATTAACTTGCTGCACAATGCAGGAAATAGTTTCATATCTTCAGAACATACAGAGAGATGAATTGTCTTCCTTATACAAATATTTTTCTCCACTCATTAAAATCAGTTTCCAGTTCATCATTTTGCTCACGATATCTCTATTCCAGATATGTGAAGTGCTTGCTTACTAGCGTAGAAAGTTACATTAACATATTGAGCTTAATAGGCTATTTAAGGCAATTATTTTGTGGTCTGATTAAAGATGACTTTTGGCAGGAAAAAAAAGAGACAGAACTGTATTTGCACATCCGAAAGCTTTTTTGTTTTCCCTTTGTCAAGCTTCAAAAGCCAAAGAATAAACAAACTGTTCCCATCTCAAGAAGAAGTTTATTTATGTGTTTAAATCAGATAGAGAAGGAAATGTATTAAATATAAAGATGTAGATATAAACGTAATAAGAAAGGGAACTAATTATAGAAGTGCCTACATCTTGATTATCTAGAAAAAAATGACATGTATACATCTATCTATCTTAGGGTTGACACCTGGCTGGTATATACTGTCACAGTTGATATTTGAGGCTGTCTGGTCAGTGCCGGAATTGCAAAACTATCCACATTGCAAAGGCCAGTATTTTTCTTTAACTGGACTCTGGGAGAGTGGTGGTAGACATGGAGCCAGAATATCCACCACTATTATACATGACAGGTACACACAGCGACACACTTCTAAGCCCACACACTCAGACACAGTGTACACGCTGGTATACACACACTCATTCAGACAGTAGATATACAATGACAAAAACTGCTATACACAGTATACACACAATGACACACAACTACCTACACACACAAAGACATAGTATGCACACACGACATACTACCACAAACACACACAGTACAAACACTCACATACATAAAGGAAACAGTATACACACATTGCTACACATGCAAAATGCTAGACGCACCGTCAGACATAGTAGACACATTGCAATTAGTTTTTTTTATCGATTTAAGAATGTTTACATTTCCAAATGTTTTATTTAAATGTTTTTGTGTATATCATTCCCTAAGCAAATGGAAAGCTATTGAGGATTCTCTAAGCTTTTTCTCATATCCTCTGTTTTTGTTGCAATGCATTTACTTGGCTCTCCTCAATTTTAAAGGGTAATTCAGACATGGATCCTTTGCTCACTGTGGCTAGAGGAGTATCAGCTACACCTCGCTGATTATGCCCAAAGAAGGCTGAAACAATTGCCTGGGGTAGCTGTATCTCTCATGCAGAGAGAAGGTGCCGTCATTTTGATTCTGGACTGCCATTATGGATCAGTCCGATCTGCCTTGGAAATGGTTCTCTCTCTAATGGCACAAGTGAGCAAAAACAATTTTGAGATCTGAGTAGGGATTTACTGAAAGGCAAGCTATTGAGTATAAAATGTGTTTCATTTGCTTTCATATTTGCGACAGTTTTGTTTGAATTCACCTTTTTAGTAGTGCACCAAAATAACCTATTGTTTCCCCACATTGTATTTCTCTCCTGTATTTTTTGCTTATTGTTTCCAGATTTTTTTTACTACTGATAACATTCATAAAATAAGGCATATTATTAGAGCTGCTAGTAAAAAAAAAAAAGACACATTAGCAATTTGAACGTAAATGCTTTCTTTCTTTGGAAATAAAAATCACTCTTTTCTGACTATATATTTTTTTATTTATTTGGTTGCAACACATTTGTGAAGCAAAAAAATGGAAAATAAAATCAGCATGAAAACACAACACTTTTTATACATAACCCCCATAATGGTTACACCAAACTTTGTAAAAATCAAAGCAGACATATAAACTTAGAAATTATAATAGTAAAGTTCCACTTTGGAGGGTAAGCAATGTTTAATATAAATTCCATCTCCGATTATGTGCCATCCAGCTCATCCTGAAACTGCAGTAAAAACTGGAGTGAATATCAAATTGTAAAATTGTAAGCCAAAATATTCATCCTGAAAACAAAGTTATTTTCTATTTTGACTATTTCGAATTACTGATCGTGTAATACAAGGTGAATAAATGGCTCTTATTTGTACTATCCCCCACCCCAATAATGTAATTCACTTTATGGGGGTATGGCAAGGGGCAGGGCTGATTCAGAGACCTATTAAACAGACAATATGGGCATCAAAACAACTTTATCTTAATGAAGCAGTCTCAATGCTCAATGCTCTGCCATTTAGTAGTTAAATCACATTTGTTTCTGTTCACTCAGTCCTAGCTACACCTACTGTGACTGATACAGCCTGCATGAAAAAAAGTTTAATTTTCAATCAGATATTAACTTACTTTAGTCCAGTGTTTTCCAACCCAGTCCTCATGGACCACCAACAGTCCAGGTTTTGTCAGTATCTCCATTGGAAAAAAAAAAGGGAAATACATAAATCCTAGACTGTTGGGGGTCCATGAGGACTGGGTTGGAGAACACTGCTTTAAACGTTTTATCTCCTGCTCTGTAAATTGAACCTTAATCAGACACAGGAGATAAGAATTCTAAATTAAACATAATGTGCAATAAAGGAAGTTTAAAAATTAGGTCTCTTACAGCAAGTGTTTAGGAGGGATGTGTACCTCACATGCAGGAAGGTGTGGCTACGGTTGTATAAACAAAGTGATTTAACTCCTATATGGCAGAGATTTGAGCAATGAGACTGCAGGGACATGATCTATACACCAGAACTGCTTCATTAAGCTAAAGTTATATTATATTATAACTCTGATTCAAATGTGTTGTAAATTTTTTTCTTCTATATCTTTGCAGCTTTTCATTTAGATCCAAGTTTTTTTGTTTGTTTATATACATATTTGAACTTGTCTAACAGTGTTCTTTTCTTATATATATCAATCCATTATGTACTCTTTAAGGTTACTGATCTAGTTTAGGACCGAGGTATTTAGATTAGTAGGGACTGTAGTGCATGTCTTATGAGAGTGAAAATAAGCTTCTAGCTACACAAAACATTGTATTTCCAAGCCTCAGAACAAGACAACGTTTTCCAAATGTTTCTCATTTTTGTTGATGTTGGCAGAGGTTTAAGGAAATGTGAACTAGAGAATTTCAATGGTCTGGCAATTAAACAGGGTCCACGAAAGGTGGAATTCATTCATTAGATCCGAGCCTATCCAAGAATTCATTTTTTTCTGACTCTCCTCCTCTCTGCTTCTCGTTTTACTCTTTTCTTTTTACAAGTCCAAGTTTTCTTTTATTCCTTTGTTTATATTCTACGGCTCACTTTTTTCTTTTTTTTTTGTATGTTCTTTTTAATCCCTTTCCATGCATTCCAGCTTTTTTTCTTTTCTGACATTCATTTATGTCCCACTTTTTTATTTATTCATTTATTTTTTTTCAGTCGTTCCTTTTCTTTGTTTCTGTATTTTTCTTACAAAGAAATACCTGACTGCCAATAATGTGAAGCATTTAATGATGTATTTTAATGTGATCCAGGGGCCCTATTAAATCTTAGCATGCTGATATTTCAAGCCATATTCCATGTAACCTTACACCTCTAGGACTCATATTAATATTGTAATAAATGTAATCACTGCATCCTACACTAGGCACTGACACCCATCACCTTTTCTTTTAAGTTGATCTGTAACACCTTCCGATGAATGTCTTCCATTTCTGTGTTACTTTTCTTAACATCAACTTATTTTATTTCATTCTCTTTATTCATTTGTATGAAATATATATATATATATATATATATATATATTACATACCATGCTTATATATATATTACATACCATGCTATCTGGGCTTACAATGTCCATTTTGCATGCCTGTTTATAATACTATCAACATTTATACTGTTAAAGGAGCAATTCATGCACCGTAATCTGTTGTAGTGGTTATGGTGCCAGGACTGCCCATGTGCTGTCTTAATATCATCTGTGAAACCTTTTTAGATGGGTTTTGCTGTCTGCGGTGCTGCTTCCAGTTATCTCAGAGCTGGAGAAGTCACATTTCAGCATTGTTCAATACAGGAACACATTTATAGAAACGTAGAATGTGACGGCAGATAAAAAAACATTCGGCCCATCTAGTCTGCCCAATTTTCTAAATACTTTCATTAGTCCCTGGCCTTATATTATATCTAGGATAGCCTTATGCCTATCCCATGCAATCCTACACATTTATTGGCAGGGGCGTATTAGCCGCGAGGCAAACAAGGCATTTGCCTTGGGCGGCATTTTTCAGCAAAAAACGCCGCCCCCCAAATGCCCAGGGCAAATGTCTAGTTAGCCTTGTGGCTAACTGACCTGCTGGGTGGTTGGGGGGCGCTGGCGGGTGGGCGGCGAGGGAGCTCTTCCCCTGAGCACTCTGCTCAGCTCCCTCGCGCGCCGCAGAGTGAGGCAGGGAGCCGGGTCGATGACGTCATATTCCAGCTCCCAGCCTCACTCTGAGGCACGCGAGGGAGATGAGCAGAGTGCTCAGGGGAAGAGCTCCCTCGCCAGCCGCCCGCCCAGCGCCGCCCGGCAGCCACTGGACCACCAGGGAGAGACGGAACCACCCCCAGCATTCCCAAAGGTAAGGAGGCTGGGGGGGGGTTAAATAAAAAAAAATATATGTTAATGTGAGTGAGTGTGTGTATATGTCTGTTACTGTGTGTGTTTGTCACTGTGTGTCTGTTAGTGTGTGTCTGTTAGTGTGTGTGTGTGTGACCGTTACTGTGTGTGTCTGTTAGTGTGTGTCTGTTAGTGTGTGTGTGTGTGTGACTGTTACTATGTGTGTCTGTTAGTGTGTGTGTATGTTAGTGTGTGTGTCTGTTAGTGTGTGTGTGTCTGTTAGTGTGTGTGTCTGTTACTGTGTGTCTGTTACTGTGTGTGTCTGTTAGTGTGTGTGTGTGTGTGTCTGTTACTGTGTGTGTCTGTTACTGTTTGTGTCTGTCTGTTAGTGTGTGTGTCTGCTAGTGTGTGTGTCTGTTAGTGTGTGTGTGTATGTTACTGTGTGTGTATGTTACTGTGTGTGTATGTCTGTTACTGTGTGTGTGTCTGTTACTGTGTGTGTCTGTCTGTTACTGTGTGTGTCTGTTAGTGTGTGTGTGTGTGTGTGTGTGTGTGTGTGTGTCTGTTAGGTGGGTGTGTGTGTGTGTGTCTGTTAGGGTGTGTGTGTGTGTGTGTGTCTGTTAGTGTGTGTGTGTCTGTTACTGTGTGTGTGTGTCTGTTAGTGTGTGTGTGTGTGTGTCTGTTAGTGTGTGTCTGTTAGAGATTGAGTGTTTCTGTTAGCTAGTGTATGTGTATCTGTCAGTGAATGTGTGTGTGTGTGTGTGTATTTAGAAGGCGGGGCGGGGGGAAGGGTTGGGTGGGGGTGGCACGGGGGGAGGGGGCACCTGAGTTTTGTCCTGCCTAGGGCAGCACAAAACCAGGATACACTACTGTTTATTGGCCAATGAATACCCACTTTAGCATCTGGTTTGTCCTACAGAGAAGACCATACCTACAGCACGCTGTAGTGGTTGTGGTGCATTGAATGTTTCTTTAAAATTTCTACTTCTGTTATGTTGCAAGGTGTGCAAATTTGAATGCCGATAATTATAACTGGTGCTATTGTGTCATTTTACTATTTTCAGTGCAGCAACCTTTTATCATTGATAAATTCCTACTTATATTAAACTCATTTTCATATTAGCATTTTCTAATGAGTTTTGTCAATACATTCACTCTGAATTAAAAATAATTGAAACTCCTAGCACTCCCCTTTCTAAACTATCTGTGTGATATCTTCTCCAAACCTTAAAGGGTAACTTTCATTGTTTCTCTACTTGTATTTTTCTAGTTATAGACTTACTCAATAACTATATTCCAGATACCTCCCCCCCTTCAAATTTTTCCTCAAATACAAAGCTTACCTGGAATCCTCAATCGCTTCCATGCTTCTTCTTTCGTAATACCATGTCATCTTCTTCCTTGTTAAGGTCCCATCAAATGCTTTAATGGACTTTAGGTGCATGCTGGCAAGTGCTGCGTATGTGCCAATCAACTTTTCTACCTGAAGCATTGAACAGAGGCAAAAGAGGAAGTGTGGGCTTGCAAATCGGTGACAAGGAGAGGGAAATCAATTTATTACTGGACACACAATGGTGGAGGGAGGGAATGGTTATTCTATAGGGCAAGGGCTGTCACAGGTTGAGGGATGGAGAGAGTACTTTACAAGTGAAGGCTGTGACTGGTGAAGGGATGGAGGGAGTATTGAGACACAGTTATTTTGTGCAGAATTCACATTAGGACGCCTGGAAGAGTTCACATGTCACATGTGCCAGGGCTGCACAAAAGTACAGATATTTATGTATGTGCGGCATTTCCAGTAGAAACGCTGCATGTACAGATTGGTTACTACATGACCACTTCTAAAAGCAGAAGTGATCATGGAGGCTGGATCAACCCTTTAAAATTTATAAAATATTTGAATTCTTTGGTTTCTCATTGTCTGCAAGTATTTATAAAGGATTCTGGGGAGGCTTAATTTTTTTGTGCTTTCTTCCACCTTCCACGCTTGAGATTAATAATTCTAAGTAACTCAGTAGCAGCTATTTTTCCTTTGACATGTGGCAATATAGCACAACTGAATTGTCAAATATCTCAGTGTTCTGAAACTTCACTGAAATGCTTATTCTGTAAAAGAGCTTGAACAGAAGGTGAGAAAATTAGACTTACTCAGTGATACGACAAGACAAGGGAGTGGGCTCTGGGGCTGGGAATTCCTGTTTCTACCAAATTTATTAAAACTTTTGGGAAAAAAAATAAGAAACTTAGCCCAAAGCTCTTCCTTTTTTTCCGTCCTTTTTAAGCCCCACTGATGAAGTTCTAAATCATCAACCAAAACTAACATGACAAATTGCACTTCCTAACAAAGCAAATTTCCAAATTTGGCCAAAAGACAATTTTTTTTATTATTATTTTTTTTATATATATATATATCTATTTCTCCCAGGGGAGCCAGTATCCCACATTCATTTCTTAACAAATATAAACTTCTATGGAGACTGCTGTTGGAACTCTAATGCTAGAGCAACTATTGTGTGTAAAATGACAAACCAACATCCCGCATCGGAATGTCATGACACATCCTAACTGTTATACTTTTAAAATGTTCTTCTGTATTTGTATTTGTTACTTGTATCAAACCACATTAATATTATATGTGGATCTTATTTTGTACAATTCTATGAAAGAACTGCACAGGGATTATAGTACTTTAGGACTATCCAAGAAGGAAAGAGTTAGATCTCAAAATATGCATCTGATGGGAAACCTAAATATATGGTGTGTGCAAGAAAATTATTTGAAATATGCAGACAGGTTCATGAACAGAGAGAAATATTTCAAACTCATAAACACATACAAACAAATCTGTAGATTTGAGTCTGCTGTGCAAAGGAACTAGTTAGATCATAGGAAGTGTGGCCATCAAAGATTGGGAGACATCAAGTCGGGTCTTCATAGAGACCCAACTCCCAGTTTTGTATGAGAACAAAAATTTCCAGAAGGATAAATTGCTGCTATACACATCTCCACACATGCAAAATGCTCACCCTTTCATCACCCAAGCCTGATCTAAGCATGTTCCAAATGTGAAACACGCCATAAATCTGCAGGTCTGGAAAGTTTTACCATACAGTGGGGAGGGAAATGCCTCTAGATGAAGCACCTTCTCTGCGTTGTGTATGTATGATCACTGTGCGGTGGGAAGATTCCCAGACCCCTCCTGCCTTCCCCCTTCCTGCACACTTGCATGGAGCAGGAGACCAGATGTCTCACACTTTATAAATATTGCTCTTCTGAGACACCTTGACTTGCGCTCCTCTCACCATCCGCTTTTGCCGGTGACCTCTTCAGAAGGGTTTGCAGAATATCAGATATTTAGTTATTTTATGGATAGGCCGTCAGAGCATCTCTTTGTTTGAACATAGTTTCTGCGAAAATATTTTGCAAAGCGTTTACATTCACGATGCAAATATTGAAAAATTAGGTTATGATGTGTAAGTGTAAATCATTTCCTGCTGTATTCTACACAATAAGATTTCAAGTCTTTGAGGTAATTGGAATGGCAAATGTTTTTGAAAAACCTGAAAGTCTCAAAGGGATGTTTATAAGGGCAAATACAGGTGCTATTCTGGGTAGAGTGTTAAAGGAACATTTAAGCACCATAACCACTACAGCACGCCTTCCTAACCTCCAACATAAATAGTCAAACTATTTCAGGAAAGTTTGACTTGTTACCTGGGATCCACAAGGTACCGCTTCCCACCTCAGGAGAGCTAGAGGCTCCTGCCGGGAGCTTTTATTAGCTGTCCTGAGCAATCAGAAAACTGTTGCTTAGCTCAGTGGAGCTAAACTCAAGAGTCAACAATTGCCCAGAGCACCTGCCTTTCAAAGACTTCTCATTGAACTACATTGAGAAGTCTGTGATTGGACAGTCACAGAAAGATTGGGCGGGGTTAGAAGGGAGGGCTTGCAAAGGCAACAGACAAGAGATCTGCAATTTTTGCAGCTGTTTTTAGATATACACCCCAGAGGGAAAAAAAAATGCATACCTAAATGCCTGCATATTTTCATTGGAGTAAATCTACTAAAAGTGATTTATTGATTTATTTTTGGATTTGGGTGGTGCAGTGTCCCTATATTCTTTCTCTTATACAGTAATAGTCAGGAACCACCCAGATACCAACAAGATGCTCACCTATTTCACTGTGTTTCATGCTGACTAGATCCATAAGAAGATTATTTTAAGTAATATAAGTTGAAGCAAATGCTTTAACTCCTTAACGCCGTTAGTGTGTACTATGCCACCCCGTGTTTAGTGAGCCTAAATGCCGTAAGGGCGGCATAGTACACCCTAACGATCGTGAGCTCCCTTGCTCCCTTACCTGGACCGGCAATCTTGGTCTGGGATGACTGCCTCAGGAGACAGGCAGTCCTCCTGCTTCCTTTCCGGCCCTCCAGGGCCATGTGATCGCGACGGACGTTAAATTAATTATTTATGTAAATATAGTCGAAAAATATACACGTTGAATATATATATGAATATATATATATATGTATATATATAGACACTTACATACACACACTCATATATATCTATATATATATACAGTATCACACAAAAGTGAGTACACCCCTCACATTTTTGTAACTATTTTATTATATCTTATCATGTGACAACACTGAAGAAATGACACTCTGCTAAAGTAGTAAGTGTACAGCCTGTATAACAGTGTAAATTTGCTGTCCCCTTAAAATAACTCAACACACAGCCATTAATGTCTAAACCATTGGCAACAAAAGTGAGTACACCCCTAAGTGGAAATGTCCAAATTGGGCCAAATTAGCCATTTTTCCTTCCATTGAGTCATATGACTCATTAGTGTTACAAGATCTCAGGTGTGAATAGGGAGCAGGTGTGTTAAATTTGGTGTTATCGCTCTCACACTCTCTCATACTTGTCACTGGAAGTTCAACATGGCCCCTCATGGCAAAGAACTCTCTGAAGATCTGAAAAAAATTATTGTTGCTCTACATAAAGATGGCCTAGGCTATAAGAAGATTGCCAAAACCCTGAACTGAGCTGCAACACGGTGGGCAATAGGCACATGCGATTTGTTTCGTCCCGAATGTACATTCGTAAGAATTTCATGCCATTCGGACATCGAAGTTCCGAAGTTTCGAAGTGCCAAAGCACCGAAGTGCCGAAGTGATTCGGATTCCTGAAAAGTGACAAAACAAGAGAGAGGGAGGGAAAAATACATGAATGATGACAGGAATCTTGACCAATAAGCTAATTCCTAATTCCTTTTGTGCAATGACGTCATATCCTGTACGCGCCACATCACGGCTGCCAGCGGACCCTGAAGGACATTTCAGGGATCTGTGCTGCAAGAGCACAGTAAGTACTTTGCTCCCTTGCTGCCAGGCATGGGATGTTTGTCCCATGCAGTCTTGCGCAGTCTCTAAAAAAACAAATATGAACGCTAATTTAGGCCAGGGTTTGTGATTAAGTGGCCACTAAAAAGACTGGACATATCCATTTTGAATACCCTGGGTTTTCAAAAAAGCCCTATATTTGACCCTGTAACTTTCCAAAACCCCATAAAACCTGCACATGCAGGGTACTGTTTTACTCATGAGACATCGCTGAACACAAATATGAGTGTTATATAGAAAACTGTATAATATAAATGATATAATCAATGAAAGTGCAGAATTTGTGTGAAAAATGCAAAAAAAATAATAAGAACGCTAACTTTGGCCAGGGTTTGTAACCAAGTGGCTACTACAAAAGACTGGACATACCCCTTTTGAATACCCTGGGTTGTCTACCTTTACAAATGATATGCCATGCTGGGGTTCATTTTAATTCTCGGACTGCCATACAGTCCCAGAGGCAGCATAGGCCCTGCAAACCAACCTGGCAAATGTCAACGTGTAAAAATTAAATAGGGGAAAGCTCAATATTTGACCCTGTAACTCTCCAAAACACCATAAAACCTGTACATAGTGGGTACCTTTGTACTTGTGAGACATCGCTGAATACAAATATGTCTAATTTATTGCAGTAAAAAACTAACAGTATTATGAAATTAACAGTTGAAAGAACTTGACAATTAAAAGTTAAAAAAACTTGAAAATTAACAAAATTTCTTAATTTTTTAATGTTTTTACATTTTATTTATATTAAATTATGTTTCATATATAAATGATATATAATAAGTGTGGGTGCATGTAATATGAAAGAATTTAATTATGGTTGAACATACATATAGCGCAAATTCCAGGTTTTGTTTTACATTTTGTTTTGATCACAACTTGTACAACTGACTCCGTCCTTAAGGGTTTAAACTACAACTTAGTTAAGAACTACCAACTATATCCTTGTAAAGCAAAAAAGAAAGCACTGGAACATTAAATTATTGTTTAGGAAATAAAAAAAAATTCTTTAGTTTTGTTTGCCTCTAACATCCATTAGGAAAAGTGAATTGTCATTTTCTTCCATCATAGAAACTGCATATGCAGGCCACGTGCATTCATTCTTTTTCAACCCGGGTCACAGGAAGTGTATAGTATGTTTTTAAATTTCTATTTTAATCGTCAACACGTGCACCCCACAGATCCCCATTTGCAGTAAATTAAGAGCCATTGGTGCCTCATCAGTGTCTGTCATTTTATGAATTTTATGAATGCCTTTATAGAAATTTTTTTGGCTGTGTGTCAGTTAATGTTTTTTTATCCTATGTTTCACTGTTAACAGAACACGCAGTGTTCCACATTCTCTCACCCAGTGAACTCTGGGAATTTGTTTCCAGGCAGGGAACGAGTTAAGAGGCTCTACTCAAAAAGAAATACATTTTTTAAACCTGGCAGCATGGATTTCACCTTTAACGGGAGGGATCACAAAAATATCTCTTTGCTCCAAGTGAACTTTTGAACTTTACACTCATCCAGCGGCTCAAGAAAAGCTGTGCTGTCAGTCACTGCTTCTTCCATGGATTCCTGCACATATGAGAAACAGATACACATTACACTGTTCTGTGTCTGACACTTCGGACATTTCACGCACTTTATCCATATCCTTAGAGAGGCATCAGGGACACATACTTCTCATTCTCTAGTACTACACAAACATCATGATATGTAGCAATCTTCGCCCCGCTCCAAGGCAGCAAAGTGCAAAGCCTCCGTCTGACACAGGCACAGCAACATGAAAAACTCTTCTTAACCCAATAGAATAAGGTATAAAAATATCTTCTTCCTCATACATAGACACCATAACATTTAACAGTCAGCTCCTAGTATTCAAGCACCACAATTCATAAGAGTCTCTTAACAGGGCCCTCAACCCCCTCTGTTCTTGTGCGTCCAACTCGTCTGGTTACAACTACATGTCTGTTAGTCCACCCATTTTACAGCGCTGCACAATTTGTTGGCGCTATATAAATAATAATAATCATAGACAGGCACACATCATATCCTGTAAAATCAATAAACAGACACCACAACATAAACTAATCTCGTCCTCTCAATATACACATAATGCAACAATAAACTGCATCTTTCAGACAAGCTCGATGACGTAAAAAATTGTGACTTTATATAACGTAAAAAAAAAGTCTTTCCCTTATACACAGATATGACAGCTACCAAATTCATAGTGTTTTTCTATAAAAATAAGGGGGTCAGCCGTTGTTTATTGGACATATATTAAGGGCTTATATAGTCCTCCTAAAATACATATTTCCATATGCTTCATGTCATGATGAAAACTTATATCACTTCCTATCTTATAAAAATATCAGATCTGACACTAGGGCTCTGGCTCTATTTTAACACAGAGTTACCACTTCCTTTTTAATACAATATCTGGGATGTAGTTATGCTTTCTACAATTAATTGTATTCAAAAAGTCTCTCAGAATTAAAAGGGACACGCAATATAGATCTGGTTTTTGGATTGTGTCTGTTAATGCACAGTTAGCACATATGGTTGTGTTTAGAGCATTTGTTTTGGAGTTCACAGATCAAACTTAAGTTATTTTACCCAGTTCTCTGGTCGTTCCAGCACTAAATGGGTGAAATAGATTTGTCTTGGAATCTTTGACAAGGAAAGAATGGATTCTGCCAGCAGCTTCCCAGGATACTGTCATCAGCTCAGCAGGAATTACACAAATATCTGAATCAAGTTTCCTTAAATCCCAGACAACCAGTCCCAAGGAATATAATAACGATAATCATTTTATTTTACTGAGATACAATAATAATAGCAATATTTGAAATTTTAATGCCAATATAACAGGAGTACTTTTTTATAGGAATAACAATATATATCGAAAGATCAGCTTTTGAGAGTTTCCTTTCTTCTTTGTCAGAAGCCATTCTTGAAGAAAAGAGGAACCTCTTGAAAGCGTATCTTTTAATATTTATTGTTAATTTGATTTACAAAAAAAACATCCCTGTATACTACAATACTACTGATATTTTGGCATTTGGATCATTCCAATTTGATTTTTATTCAAGAAATCCATTCTTAGGAAACTTAACAAAATGTTCAGAGATCTTGAAACTGATTCTGTGTGAGCTCAGATTTACAATGGTACAAATCCTGATCACACTTGATGAACTTCTCGTCCATGTGTTAGGGTGAGGAAAGGGGGCTATAAATTGTGAGTAAGAAGTGCTGTTATTTGTATGTTTGCTTTTGTTTGCATCATGTATACACTCACCAATTCTCTTCACTTGTCATTCAATTCACTTCAATTCTTCTGTGTTTATCACACAGGGATATTCAATAAAAGGTTTATTTATCACACTCTAAATTGTAGTGAACTGAAAAAAAAAAGTTTAAATGCACAAACTATAACTAAAGCTGAGTTTGAGAATGTTTCCAGATATATTACTTTAATCTGAATTTTGTAATTCAGATTTTAATTTGTTGAAATTCATAGTTTAGTGAATGAATTATCTGGAATTCCAAGGAAATTCAAAGTGAATTAAAAATTGTAGGCCTAAAATAATCAAGCTGAAAAAAGTCAGTTAAATTTTATTTTTGGATACTTTGGCCTAAAATGTTTAATTCACAATGGATTCTATTTCAATTTTTGACAATCCACACTTTAGTGAATAACCTTGAACATGTTACCGACGGTAATGTTAATTTGCAGAAATGTTCATTTGCGGTGGTCTTACTCTTTAATATTTCAACATTTGCTACTGCATTTATTTCATTATATGAATATGTGGGTTTTTTTTGTTTTTTTTTACAGGACGTCTGGTCAGTGTAGCTAATCTTTCAAGTCCCCTTCTAAAGAGTTATTTTTGACCAGTGACATCTGAGTGACCTTGTGTTCAGGACTAGTAATTTGTTTGTCTGCCGACTTGCCACACTGACCCTAATGTGAACTCTTTGTAAAGTCTAGGCTAAGCCAAAGTCACTCCGTTAGTCTCCAACTAAATGAAAATAAGTCCACGCTGCTCCTGCAGAAGACATAACCCATTCTACTGAGTAATACTTTTTGTGTAGACGGACTGGCTATCTAGCAAAAGTTTTATGGTATCATTAATCTCTTTGTTGATATAATATCAACATGCAATTTTACTTTGTATGCTACTCTTTAAATCATTATCATAACGTTGTAGACATTTCTAAATTTTATTTTGTATGCCTTCACTTTGGGTAAAACACTAACTAAACCTCACGAATGTTCCTCTTCATAATCAACTGACTAAAACATTATAATGTGACAAATGACTGATATTGTTGGACTTTAGACCAAGCAATTGTGCAATGCAGGCTTATGTTACAATATAGACCGGGTGTGTGCAATAAACTTTTACATTTCTAAAACTAATTCACATTGCTTTACCAATAATGGACCTCTTCTGGCAGCTGGCCAGGCACCAGGATTTTATTGGAAATGGATCCGATTCCATGATCTCTTATTAACACCGGACAATAACTTGCAGAATCTGCTTGCATCTGGTTACTGTAATGTCTTCTAAGTTTCTCCTTTATCACATATAGCTTACAGCAAAAATGCTAAAGTTCGCAACTGAGATATCTGTTAAAAGTGTCTGTGTTAAATGAGTTGGAAATGCTTACCATAATTTGAGCTATATTATAAAAACACTGCGTTCAGGAG